TTTCCTTGTGCAGCTAAGAAGAGCTCGTGTTCCACCCCCGGGGGGGGTACTCCCATATATTTGCTATACGGGGACGTGCCGCTGGCCAGGGTATGGTTTTTGGCCTTGCTGTCTTAAACAGGGTATACATTTCACCCGAAATTGTCTTAAACAGGCTCTACAATTTAGATAAAAGAGACCGATATAATTTTTTTGTGTGTCTTGGACAGGGTAATATTTTCATAACACCGTAGAAATACCGTTTCACTGTCCCAGAATTAACGTGTTATCAAAAACTTCTTATTGTCTTTGATGGATGTCAGTATAATTGCAGTTTTGATGGTTGCGGCGTAGATAGCTATTCCTTATTTTTCCGATTTGTCTTGAACAGGGTATGGATTTTTACTTTTTAGTGTCTTAAACAGGGTCAGGGATTTAGACCGCTGGCGGCACGTACCTATCCAAAACGGGGTCGAGTGCCCCCCCCCCCGGGAGTTTCATATGTTAAACCACCGTACTTTGTGTAAAAGTTACTGAAGTTAAGTAACCATCTAATGAGAACCTGGACAGGAAAGACAATTGGGGTAAGACTTTGTCTTATTCTTTAGCACGTCTTTGTGAGCAGCTCTTGGTATGATGTAGGATAATAAACGATATTATGTCTTTTTTTTGATTTATCTGTGAAATGTTTGAGATGAGTATCGTTTAGTTATTAAGTAATCGAGCTGGGTTTTTATCCATTCCATACATCAAAAATGACCTTTATTGATAAAAGATATTTGATTTCAGTTTCAGGAGATAAATCCACCTTTGCGTGACTTAGCCGCGCCAGCTTATCGAATACGAAAACAAGACGATGGCGACAACATGGTTTTCACAAGGAAGAGGTTAGTGGAATTCTGCTACGATGGTAATTTCTGCGGTTTTAAAGTTCAGTTTAAGGTGGATCACAACTAATGAAACGCAAATTTGTACTATTTCAACTCGCTCGTTTCGCAAAAGTATTTGGACAAACTGCCCGAGCTTTTCCAACCAAATTTACAGCCCTTATGCAGTTTGATAAGATATACAAATTCTGAAACTTTCTAGATGATCCGACTGTTAGTTTTAGAGTTAATCGTCGAAAACTAAAATTACCACTGTTTGAAAATGCGCTGTATCTTTGTAAATTTGACTAAATTCTTTTGCAAGCGAGCTATAAGTATATAATTTCCAGACATATGAATCCACATACCACATTTTAGAAGTCTTTTCTCAAAGTTGGTTTAATGATTGCTTTTAATTTTCCTGATTATTGAGACTGCTTTGCATGGGTGTATCACAGGGAGCCCATGACCCCCCTTTCAAAGCCAAAAAAGCGTGAAAACTATAGATTGATATGACATTATATTGACTTCTTATGACGTCACAGTGACAATTCGGTATGTAAGGACCCCCCCAATTAAAATCCTGGATACGCCCATGCTTTGATTGCGCGATGTTGGATGGTACTATTTTTAAACAGTTTATTGAAAATGTTTTAAAAAATGTGATGAAATTTGAAATGTGACGAGAATAACATTCAAGGCACTTGACTTCGTCTCGTCTCATACTTTTTTGTTCTCATCACATTTTCACGTCATATTTGTATCAATTAGAGTACTGACGAACGAAAAACTGAAATCTTAGAAAGATTTGCTTCCATATCTGTCATATTTTGGAAAAGGAACTTGTAGGACACTAACATTTTTTTTAAACATTCCACGTCTTCGACAAACAATGTCTTCATGGCGTCACGATTCTCTAGTCAGCTAGCTAGTTATGGTTGAAGATATCATACCGAGTGAATGATTTCTAACTTACAATTTTAAACCTATGTAGATGGCTATGGCAAGTCCTGATAAGTTTAGCAAAGAACAATTGAACTACTTTCGSATTTGTCACGTGACAGCTCACGTGACTGATGGCCTTCGTAAAGTGTTCAAACAAGAATGGGATGCTCGCTATAARACATCGCATGGTGAATGGAATGACACTGCAAAAAATGGAATTGATTTCTACAGCCTGACACCACCAAAAGAGCAAAAGWCGAAAGCAAAAGAACTTTCTATCATTAGAAATGGCAACRCCATGGAATGGGACTGYACGTGTCTGTTTTAYGCAATMCTTTACTCTAAGTGTATTGGAAAGAATAAGCTTGACCCAAAGGTAAAKAAAGCTGTTGATGACCTGAGACAGTATCGYAACAAMTTTGCCCACACACCTAAATACAAAGTAACTGATGCAGATTTCCAGGCTTCAGTACAAGATGTAATTAGCGMTTTCCATGATTTGAACCTTGACACAATTGACATCCAAAATATGAAATCCCAAACAAGTTTTCATACTGAGGAGCTTGAGAAAATCCAGGAACAGTTGGATAAAGAGAAAAGACGTAACCAGGAGCCACAGACATTTTGYGATTTGCCACCTAAGCCATCACATGAAGTCATCCCACGCTCAAGCGAAGTAGACACAATAACGAAAGAGATGAAAACGTTACAAAGCCTTCATCCAAACGAGGTGACACATGTCTACTTGTCAGGAAATCCAGGCTGTGGAAAAAGTGAAACAGCAAGACAAATTGGCGAAAATGTCTTTGAAAAAAATAGGAGTGCTTCGTCACCGACATTTGTTGCTACACTTAATGCATCAAGCATGGACGCAGTACTAAGTTCGTACATTAAATTCGCCCGTCAACTGAGATTAGACGAAGATTACATCCAATATATTGAAAAGTCAAAACCCGATACAAAACCAGAAGAAACAATTTTGCAAGTGATTGGACCTGTTAACAAGAAATTGGAATCGTTCTCCTCGTGGTTAATGATAGTGGATAACGTGGTTGATCTTAAGAAGTCTTCCCATTTTTTCCCGCGTTTAGGGCAAAATTTACGAGGAAGAGGGCAAATCTTGATCACCACACAAGATGGTCAATCTATTCCTCTAGCAAGTCCTAAAATCTACCACAAATCTCTAAGTAAAGGTATGAAACCTGACGATGCTGTAAATGCTTTATATACAATCTCACATCAGAAAGAGGATCCTGAATACATTGCGCTTCAACTTGCAAGAGAACTAGATTTTCAACCACTCGCTCTTGTCTGTACTGCAGTCTACATGAATTTAGTCAGTCAACATAACTCCACCTATACCTGGTCCAAATGTCTTACAAAGATCCAAGAAGGAAAACTGCAACAAACTGAAAAACCATACCTCGAAACAAGCGGTCATGTCTATCTACAAACCATGACAACAGCTGTGAGGATTGCATTAGACAGAGTGGTCAAAGAAGACAAGATCATGATGCTTACGTTTGAATATTTATCAGTTCTTGCTCAGGATCCAATACCAATAAAGTACGTTGTTCAATATGTTCAGCTGTTTATGCCTGATGAACTCGAAGAGTTGATAGAAGCTCACATTGCTCGCTCTTCTCTTGTTCTCTGTTCTGATGATAGTCAGGATGTCCGTGTACATCAGATTGTACACAGGATAYTACAAGAGACCTYAAGACCTAYATTTGAAGGSGAYTGCGTTAGGTTGTCAAARGTAATCAKATCTTTTTCTCACCTMAATTKGAGTGACAATTTGAGTGATGACGAAGCAAKAGATAWCAATTTTGTACRAGMTACAAGATCTCTTACACCACACTTTACARCTCTAGTTGGAATCSTCCAATCWAATCTGCAGCTCTTTCAAACGTCAAAGGYCTTGAATGAAAGTACCAGGCTTGCTGTAGCAAAATGTCTATCGCGTTCTATTGGTGAAGCATGTGTTCTAAATGGTGAATTAATGTCTTCAAGATCTTGCTTTGAAATCTCTTTGGCTTTATATGATAACAATTCAAGCGAAGCAGCGAATATTCCAATACTACAAAATAGACTTGGAGAAATTCTTTACTACCTTCAAGAACATTCTGAAGCAAAATTATATTTTCAACAAGCACTGATAAGATTTCGTTGTTCATCCAATGACAACGATGAGATAGAGTGCAGTTATTACTTGAGAGCAGTTACAAATCTAGCACTAGTTCTTTCTACACTAGAGGAATTAAGAGAAGCTGAAAGATTCGTAAATAAATCAATACCACTGGTGAAAAATTGTCGCAACACTCCTTTTATAGGAAAAATATTGAACAA